GGGATTGTTTTGGCTGCTTGTCTCATTTTAACAAGAAAAAATGCAAGATGATATAAGTTCAAAGCTCTTAACACTCTGTCAGATTATTTAAGAGGCAGGAACACCAAAATTAACTTCTTTCTCCGAAAACCCCGAGCCAAATGGGAAAATTTGTTTAAGATGCCTTTCCCAAAGACACAGCGTAGGACCAAGTGGAGCTTCAAACGTCCCGAACCCGCAAGCCGGAAGCTATCAATTACAAGGCCGGAAGTCTAATCACTAGACTACCGACGCCATAGTTTTGTGTTACTTTTTGCATGAGTTTTAAAAAAAATACCCTCTTAACCCAAATTGCGCATTTCAATAATGATAAAGTTTATCCTTATCTTGTAGACTAATAAGCCTTTAATCCAATTGTCCTGTTTTGGTGTTTATCATTTTGAAAGGACTGAATTCCACTGGCAAAGACAAATGAAACTGAAATTCTACGAAACGGGTAATAGTTTTGGGCTCAAAGGGGACAATTTTCAACATTCTTGATAGCTATGATAAAAAGTTTCAAAAGTCGAAAATTGGAGTTAGTACACTTTTTGGACTCTGTTCACAATCTGTACTCACATTCTAAGAAATGAAATTTCCTTCCCCACTCGGGAATCAAACTCGTATCTTCTGCGTGCTACTACAAACACCTAACCGCTACGCCACAGGCGCGGTTTGGTGCTGTTTTAGCCATTTTGACAAGGAACAAAACAAAAAATTCAAATACGCCACACCCGCAAGAGTGGTTTGCTCCTTCTTTTCTATCAAACATCGATCGTCCTTATCTCTCCTTCTTCGCACCTCTGATCTTTGGCACTTATATCAGCTAATTGTGTTGCAAATTCCCTAAAATGTTTTACTAAAACAGCTCATCAATAGCATTTTCATACCAACCTTTACATACTAGTGCCAACATGGTCTCTAAACAAGATACAAGAAAGAAAAATCAATGCAAGTGAAATGAGGTGTCTCCGCAACACCTTCAACGTCGCTAAAAGAGACCACATAAGGAACGAGACCATACGCCTACAAACCGGAATACGGCCCGTAATGAATTTCACAGAGCGTTTAAAGAGTCAAATGGTTCGCTCATCTAACCAGAAAGCCCCAGAAACAACTTGGAGCTAGAGCTTACCATACCCGTGAATCTGGCTTCAAATCAAGAGGAAGATCAAGCAAGACCTAGCTGGAAGGAGTTAAAAAAGGTTCTGGAACAACATAACATCTATCATAGACGCTACACACCTAGCACAGGACCAAAACCTGCACCTCCCCTAGAGATCCTGAGGATACCAGAGGAAAGAAAAAGTAAAGTAAAGTAACTAAAACAAAACAAAACAAAACAAAACAAAACAAAACAAATTAAAACAAATTAAAACACCTGTAAGTCATTTTGGCCCCAGAGTGCAGTGGACATTGGGTGACCAGGGCTGTGCCGTCCATGTGTGGTGTACCGCGCTGTCGCTGGCCGTGCCAATGTATGCTCACACCTTCCCCGACCTCCAGTCGGTTGTCCACTGTCACCTCGATGACGTCATTCTGACAGACCTGGGGAGTGAGAGGACGGGGGGTGGAAGAATGACGAGAGGGAATGAGAGAGAGAGAGAGAGAGAGAGAGAGAGAGAGAGAGAGAGAG